TAAATTAACAATTGACAAATTAAATTCAGCATAATTTTCTATACAGAAGATTGCTCCGTTTCTTAGATATTACTACTTCAAAAAGTAATTTTGAGATATTTAGTTGACATATTCATGATCGTTTATGTGAGTATATCAATTATATATTAATTGTAGATCCACTCTGATATTTTTTTTAAAAAGAGAAAAAACGGCGAAAAATGTTCTAAATATTGATACTTTGAGTAAACTAGATCTGACGACTGACAAATTTAAGAGAATTGACTTTCTTCCCGTCGAGAAAAATCCTCTTGAAATTAGTGTGTGTTGATTTTCTGATACCCTGAGGGTGGACTTATTTTCGTAAAACAAATAATACGTCACGCAAAAATGTGGTCTCGCTCTTAGAATTTGTTCATATAAAGACCGCGCGTAGGCGAAAACGACACAAAACGAATCATCATTGCCCGCGCAACACAGCGTGACTAATAAACCCGCGCAATCGTTTCCTTATAAATGACCCCCGCGAAAGAACAATCTCGTAAATTCCACGAGTCTCGATAGAATTATTCGTATCTATTTATGGCTGATATAAGAAGGATGAAAATAAAGTGATCACAATATATGTAAAAATAAATTTTTATTTTATGCAGTGATTCCTAGTTCCTACAATTCTTCCGACAAAATTTTAATATTTAAGACTTTTAAATATTTCGTTTTAAAACACTATCATAAACAAAAATGAACGTCAGTAAACATGTCAGTAAACATAAACTGAAAACAAAAGGAATCGAGATGACGTAAGAGCCTTTAACGATTAGATGCAATGGCGAATACAATTTTTACGGTGCTGATCGTTTCATTAGACTGAATTAAAAGGTCGATAAGACATCGTTTAATCGCGGTGATCCATCCATGAAGATTGCAATCGTCATCAATGAAGATTTTAATTGAAAAACATTAACCTAATTTAGAAGACAGAGATCTATTTTTTAATTTTACAACTTTTCTTTAAGTAAAATAAAATTTATAATTTATATTTCATTGTATTTTTTTCTTCAAAATATAACACTGTTTCAGCGCCATTATAATGGCTTTCCTATTCTGTAGATCATAGAAAGAATGATTTTGTTAAAATATTTAAAAATTTAGCTAGACACAGATCTGAAAATAAACTTTATTGGGCTATTAAAATAACTACGTGAAACGCTCAAAGCTATTACATGTTGGAATGTCAAAACTTGTTGCAGTATTACTCATCATGTTTGAACTTTTTACATAATTATTTTGATAGTCTAACAAAATTATTTTCAAATCTGTATCTATATATAGCCAATTTTAGATATTTCAATAAAATTGTTCTTTCCTGTAAAGATTAAAATAATTTTACATCTTTAACATTAAAACTTTCCCGAGAGTGTTAAAATTTTTAAGTAAAATTATATGTCAGTTTATAAATTGAAGATGTTGATTGTTAGTATTGCCATGTGTAATATAGGCATAGATATCTGACCAACAACTTCAAAAATCGTGAATCAAATTGATGAACTGCGATCAGTATATAGAAGATATGGATTCTTAACATCAACAATAGTCGATTGGAAATTCTTCCTGCACTGCGTCTATCGAAAATTGGCAATCACTCCGAGGCGCGTCATCGAGCCGGGAATATTAAAAAAGACTATATGCGTCGTCACGAAAGAATTCTTTTACGGTATTGAAACCGAGTTTCGCGGTGAGTGACGCCGACGCTATTTCGGCGCCTCGTATCGTCACGAACTGCGTTCTCGGGTCTGAATGGAACGGTAACGTCACTATACACCCCCGTATTCGTCTATACACAATACATTCGACATGTACAGTTCTTTGCCGGTCTCCGGCAAAATACATATACGCTTATGTGAATTAATCTCGCCAAAAAGTCTTTTCACGTCGAACTAAGTAAATAAATCAAAGGAAGGAACGGAAGTCACAGATACAGATTTTTGGTGAACTGAAGGAAACTTAGGATTGTACAATGAGAGTAAAATATATCAATAAATGTATACAAAATATTACAAAGCGGCCAATGACATTCTTCGAAGTAATGTAGCTTATGACGAAATTTTTAGACTGAATTTCTTCATTTACTCTTTTATACACGTTTCTCTTGAGAAGATGATTTTCGTGACAACTCTACACAAGGACTTAATAAGGGTTTCTTTGATCTATCTCACGTATCTAGTAATAAAAGAGAGAAATAAAAAATGCTGATCTCGACTAACGAGATCATCGAGGTTGATGCTAAAGTGTGTCAATGTCGTCGCTCTTATATCTCCAGGTGAGATTCTTTACGAGGCGACGGACTTCCTCTCTTATTTTTAAAACGTCGACGAAAGCAGACAGTTGCCATCGATGTGAGAGGAAAGGAAACTTGACTGGTGTGACGTCATCTCCATGAGACTTACGTCGATCGATAAAAGGCGTCACAGGTTCCTAATATGGATCGAAAATAAGATTGTCGTGCATAATAACCTTCTTGATCGATCTTTCCCATAATTGCGCAAGATTTCGCTACGAAGAATGTCATGATACGTCTTTAAGATGTCTTAATGTTAATGACGTCATTGTTTTAATTAATAACGAATTCAGTTGAACGAACGAAAGAAAAGATTGAATATGACATAACATTTTTAATTGATTGTAGCAGCCAATTTTTGGTTGCGTTAGCCTATCGAAATTCTATACTGACATTGCGGATAAGCTAACAACCAAAAATTGGCTGTTGCAGCCAATTAAAATTGCTATGCCATATTTGCCACCTAATTTGCTGCAGCAACTAATTTTTTCTTTCAGTGTAAAAATGCACAATAATGCATATTAAAGTCGTACACTGATTTAATTTTTTTTGTAAAAGTATGAGTAATGATAAGTAATGATGTATCGTTTTATTCTATTTCGATATTCGATAAACGACAAGGAAAAAAACATTGGTACATTATCATGCGTGAAACGGAGTGCACTCGCAATGTATGCATCCTATTTTAATTCATATATTTATTATTATAGGATGAAGATGTTATGAGTGATCGATCAATTCGTTATCCTCGACATTGAAAGGGTGATCGACGGTCGAAGGAATCGAACGACGAATACCTTCGAACGAATCTGGCTTCAGATTCTATGCTCGTCTCGAATTTTGTCAGCTAATAATAGCCCGGTAGAGCGCATACCGTTGAGCTACTATCTTTTCGGCGACGTCAGTTTGCTTGTTTTCCTCGTCTACGTACCGAGCTATGAATAATTGTCCAATCTCTTGCAAACGCAAGCTGACGTCGGGAAACATGAGATACATAATGAAGAAACGACGCGGATGTCGCGAATTATTGAGAATTTTTGTTAAAACATTAGGCATTCAAGAGTATGTACATGAAAAGTACGATTTTGCTGAAATTGAATTTAAAAATTTATAGCTAAATATATAATATTTTGCTAAATTTAAAGATGTACTATTTTGCTAAATTTTTAGATATAGATATTTGAAAATATAATTTTGTTGAACTATTAAAATAATTACGTAGGACTCTCAATTCTTGGTTATTAGAATGTCAAAACTTTTTACGTTAGTCATCATGCTTGAATTTTCTACAGAATTATTTTGATGGTCCAACAAAATTATTTTCAGATTTGTACTCACTAAAACTTTTAGAGTGATTCTCACTCCGAAGAGTTTAGAGTGAAATCTCAGGATAGGATCACAATATCTTGCATAACGCATAATGCATAAGGCATAAATGCATAATGAATTTTCTACAATAAGCTATTACCTAAGCTTTATGTCCTAAGCCATAAGAAATTGATTGATCATAATCGATTATTCTCACATTCGGCTGTGATTGATCAATTTTTACGGCTTAAAGACATAAACTTATATAATGGCTTATTGATAAAAAGTCTATAAGAAAATGAGCCAATCAAAGTCTTTCATTAATTTCCTTTCCATAAAATAAAAGACTGATTGGTTGATTTTTTTACGTTTTTTTGCATTCTACATTACGCAAAGATCTGCGCTCTGGACTTCACGCTTAAAGATTGAAAACTGAGATACTCTTTTTCAAGAATTTTCACTCTTCAGAGTGAAGTTCCACTCCAAAGAATTTAAAGAGTATCTAATTTAAATATTTAGATATATTTCAACAAAATCGTTTTTTCCGTGTATGAATTCCATTCCTTTTAATGCAGATCCCTCTGCAAGGAATGCAATATGTATTAGCAATATATATTAGCACGAAATTGTGTAAGACAATCTTATCGTTAATGAAACGAATTGTTGGACGACACGCGCATAGCGATCGTGTTGCCATTCTGCAGCTTCCGATCTAACGCTGATCGGTCATCAAGTCTATAAATTAACATGGTCAATTATCCAATGTCACCGTCATGAATAAACTCATACGTAACGCGGTGACAGGTAATGTGACAGAAATCGTGAATAAAGAATTGTAGCGCTCTCTCACAAGTAATTCCCACAAATTCCCACGAAGTTACTATCGTCATTCATTTTTGCAATATATAATTTAATATTTTTTTTCTTTTGTAATGGCTGGATAAATATATATGTATTAATAAATAAAAAATATCTAATAAAAATTGCGCGATTCTTTCGAATATACATCATATATATATTAGAATACGTAATTCATATACTCTGTATTGTATTTTACGTACATTTATAATATATATTTTTATATATTTTATAATTTTGATATTTCTAAATATTATTTATTTGTGTAATAATATAATTTGTTTATTTCGTGCTCGCGTATATAATAATGTGTTAAATCATGTTTAAAATACGTATCCTAAATTTTTAAACACGTACTGACAACAAAACGTTTCAAATAAAACCTGATTATATTTTTGTCTTTTTTTTTTTCAAATCATTTTTACCATCCGTTTTGATTGCTTTTTATTCTAGTTACAACATTTTGCCGCGAGAGGCATTAGTGTACAGCTGATTTTTCACCTGAAATCTGAAACTGATCACCAAAGATTGGGAAACACGTGATTACATCGTTACGTTACATGTATTATGTCAACCAATATCGATCATGAGGAACAACACGAGAAATGTGAAAGATAAAGGTCGAATTAATAAAGGTGATATTGACGATAAGCATCGGGAGAAGAAATTCGACAAAAAGAAGTACAGATTACAGAAGTATAGCAACAAGTATAAAAGTATGTGTACGATGTACGCCATGAATAGGTTAAGTTTATTGTTTATTTAAAATTTGCTTCCTTGTATTAGTTAATCAATGGGAAGAGAAGAGGAAGAAGGCTGTGTTACGAGAATATTATAAAGAACTTAAGAAAGATCAGCAGAATTCCGCGGGAACGTCGTCAAATTTAAGTAATACATCCAAAAATACGAATGAAACTAGGTATGTAAAGTACTTGAAATCTATTCAGAATCTACAACTTGAAATCTAATATTGATCAATTTATTCATGTATGTAAACAGCAAATTGAAGAAGAACAGTGCTTTCTTCAAAGCTAAACGGGAATATCGGCGAAAGCAGGAAGAAAAAAAGAACAGGCTAGAGAATGCCATTCGTGTAAAAACAGAACGAGAGGAAGCCCTGAAGAAGTATAGGGAGAAGAAATTGCAGAATTACAAGGTGTTATCAAAGAAGACGAAGAAGGGGCAGCCTGTCATGAAGGGCAGGATAGAAATGTTGCTGGAAAAAATACAGCAAATAACGTAATGTACAATCGTCTCTTTATCTTCGCTTTAGACTGATTCAGGATTTGGTCAAAGTTTTACTACAAATTCTTTGAAGAGCTTTTGACCAATTATAAAGAGCAATTTCGAAACAGCATTTGTAGCATCATGTTGACTATACTCTTAATCATATCATTGCACAATGGAGCATTAGAGAAATAGTAAAATGTTTTCAATTTGTATATTGTATGTTACACAATGTATTGAATGTTCCAACAGTAACACATGTTCTTCAAATTTCATTAAATTTTTGTCATACGAGATTGCTTCCATATATTTGTACTTTATCTTTTATATAACTGTATCATTTATAAAATAGAATGACAATTTCGTGTGCAATTACTCATTAAATTATAACGAAGGAAATAGAAATGAAGTAAAATAAATAGAATTATTTAAAAATTATTTAATTCCTTGTCTTATTTAATTCTCAAAATGATAACATCATTTACTGATCAACATAATACTTTTACAAAATAAGTTGCAATTCCGAATTGAATATATCTAAAGTGAAAAAGTATTCATTTAATTTATAATTGATTCTTATATATATATATATATCTTTATTCTTACAATAAGATATTATCTAAGCTTTAAGTCTTAAGTCATAAGAAATTGATCAGTCAAATGTGAGAAAATATAATTGATCAATTTCTTGTCATTAAAAATTTAAAGATTATGTAATGGCTCATCGTAGAAAGCTCATGAAACTGTCTTAAAAAATGTCATAATAACAGCATCTTAGACATCGCTTAAGATGGACTTAAAATAAGAATCAATGAATATCTATGATATTTGGTCAAATCAATCGATTATTCCTATCAATGCGGCAATCCTCCACGTTCGATCGCGGTAACCTTTCGCATTCAATCACCCGAGGCCACGGACGAAGCGAAGAAACTAGAAGAAACCGTGGGCTTGAACCAGCGTGCCCTTTCGCGGCGATCAATCGCGGGTGACCGCCTTGGCGGTTCGAAATACGAAATTCCACGCGCCAGCATGGATCGCGCGTGCGCGCTGGCATTTTGACGGGCGGCCGTCGCTCGTCGGACGACACAGGCTAGTCGACGGTTGCAAATGGCGACAGCCACGAAGTCTTTGGCACGGGCTCGCGACTAGTTCCACGCCTACCGTGCGCCCCGCGAGCGAGCTGTGCGCCGAACGTAGCCCCAGCGCCCAGAGATCGGTACGTAGTCTAAGTGAACCTGGCGACGTCGCGGGTCGCGACTCCCCTCCCGGCCGCGGCGAGAGGATTCGCGGCAACTCGCGGCGCCCTTGGAATCCCGGCGGATCCTCCGCGCGCACGACTCGACGAAGGTATTCATATCGTTTCTTCTTCCTCCGAGATGGTTCTTCCTTTTCTCGATCGATATGTCGTCGCGCGATCATCTGCCTTCCCGGATCCGTCCCCCGTCGATTCCGACGGTCGCGTACGTGTCTCCCCCTCCCCGCTCCTCATCTCTTCCCCTCGCTAGCCGGGACGGATCTCCGGGTGCCGCATCGCTGTCAAGAATCACCATCAGAATTCGCGGTGCAAAACCGCGTCGCCGGCTCTGATCACTCGACGAATTTAATAATCGTGAATACGACGATTTTAATCGCGTCTCTTCCGAGCGGCTTCGACGGCTGAACTTTATATTCCGGAGCTCCATTCGACGCCACATACGATACTCCGTTTCCTCGATTAGCACGCTCAGAGAGAGAGAGAGAGGGGGGGGGGGAGAGAGAGAGAGAAATTAGTTTTGCGATTGTAAAAGACGGCACGTATAGGAGCGATCGCGGCCGTCCCATCGTTGCGTCACGTCGTTTTCAGTGAGCGAAACAAATACCAATTACAGTATATCTGCGTCGGAGCGCGATCTCTAAGCGTCTCAGATTGGAGGGGAATGAACGTCCGAGTGTTCTCACATAGCTCTCGCTCTCATTCACAGGTAATCTTGAGCAAAACGAGGCAAGATGCCGGCCGTCAGAGGAGATGGTATGCGTGGATTGGCGGTATTCATATCGGACATCAGGAATTGTAAGTAATCGTTGTGTGACAGTGTTCTATATTTTTCCATCAATAATACTCACACTTCACATTTAATTGCTGGATTATATAATGTGATTGTCGGTATTGTAAATTATTCCCAATTGTTGCCATTCTTTTTTCAAATATCACTGATCTTGTATTTGATGCTATTGTATTTAATGACATTTCATTCCTCCAGTGATAATGTGCCATTGAAACTGAAATTGTATGGTGACGTGTTTAACATTGAGGAGCAGGAGAAAGGGGGCGGTTCTGATATAGGCCTATCTTCTTGTGATATAGCTTGATTCTCAATATCAATCTACCACACATTAGCTAAACATTTATTAAAAAGGAATTCTGGTCTTCTTAAGATATTTATAGAAGGCACAATTGTATAGTTTTACGTATATTTATGCATATTATTTATTTATATAACTATTCACGTTTCTGAGTTAAAAAGATTGTTCTTGATAAATCATTCGGCAATTATCATTATTTTTTATATTGAGTATTTCTGTTGAGGAGTATTATTTTTGATTCATATTTATAATAAAAAAAATCCTTGGATATTTTTAGCTAAAGTATAAATGAGGATATTACAACAGAAAAGTTTTATTCTAATACATATTTTATTTTCTTGTCACAAACATACCTTATTATTGTATTATATAAGATATATTTGTATAAAAGATGATACATACACTTGTGTCTTTTCTTTTTTAAAACGTTGTACTAATGTTACTAGGCAAAAGTAAAGAGGCAGAAATTAAAAGAATTAACAAGGAACTAGCAAACATACGCAGCAAGTTTAAAGGAGACAAAACACTCGATGGATATCAGAAAAAGAAATATGTTTGCAAGCTGTTATTTATTTTCCTTCTTGGCCATGACATCGATTTTGGACATATGGAAGCTGTCAATCTACTTTCATCAAATAAATATTCAGAGAAACAAATTGTAAGTAAAACAATCTAACAATCTGCAATATGTTCAATAATGTAGCGGATGATGTCACTATCTACTCATATAATTCTAGGGATATCTTTTCATATCGGTCCTAGTGAACACTAATAGTGATCTGATTAAGTTAATCATACAAAGTATAAAAAATGATCTCGCCTCACGCAATCCAATTCATGTTAATTTGGCGCTGCAATGTATTGCCAATATCGGTAGTAAAGAAATGGCGGAAGCCTTCGGCAATGAAATTCCAAAATTGCTTGTCTCAGGGTACGACATATTGTATTTATTGCTTTATATAGCCTTATATAGTTGACTTGTATCAGATATTCGTTGAATTTTCAAATATTTGTTCTATAGAGATACCATGGACGTTGTGAAACAAAGTGCTGCGTTATGTCTACTGCGACTATTGCGGACAGCTCCCGATGTCGTACCTGGCGGTGAATGGACGTCACGTATAGTTCATCTGTTGAACGACCAACATTTAGGCGTTGTAACAGCCGCAGCATCACTCATAGACGCTCTTGTAAAAAGAAATCCTGATGAATATAAAGGCTGCGTTAGTCTTGCAGTTTCGAGATTAAGTAGAGTACGTTATTGAAGTAAAAATTTATCATATGACAATAAGAATACAATATTATTTAACATTTTTTCTGCGATTGTAGATTGTTACGTCGAGTTATACAGATCTGCAAGATTATACGTATTACTTTGTACCAGCCCCATGGTTATCTGTCAAGTTATTACGTCTGCTGCAGAACTATACACCACCAGGTATTTAATTCCACAATGCATGGAGTATGTTATATGTAGAAATATAATATATTGTAGGATATATTTATAAGGAATTTATATTTCTTTAGCCGAAGATCCAGGTGTGAGAGGCAGATTAAACGAATGTTTAGAAACAATATTAAACAAAGCTCAAGAACCACCCAAGTCAAAGAAGGTCCAGCATTCAAACGCGAAAAATGCTGTTCTCTTTGAAGCCATTAGTTTAATTATTCACAACGATAGCGAGCCGAATCTCCTTGTACGAGCATGCAACCAGCTCGGTCAATTTTTATCGAATCGAGAGACCAATTTGCGATACCTGGCACTCGAATCTATGTGCCATTTGGCTACTTCAGAATTCTCGCACGAAGCCGTAAAGAAACACCAAGAAGTAGTCATATTATCAATGAAGATGGAGAAGGATGTTTCTGTGAGACAGCAAGCAGTAGACCTATTATATGCCATGTGTGATAAAAGCAATGCCGAAGAGATTGTCCAAGAAATGCTAAATTATTTGGAGACAGCTGATTACTCGATTAGAGAAGAAATGGTTCTTAAAGTAGCGATTCTAGCGGAAAAATATGCGACCGATTATACTTGGTATGTTGATGTTATCCTAAATCTAATTAGGATAGCAGGCGATTACGTATCTGAGGAAGTTTGGTATCGAGTTATTCAGATTGTTATCAATCGAGATGATGTTCAGGGCTATGCTGCAAAAACCGTCTTTGAGGTAAAATATATATTTTTTTCTTTTTGTAAAATTATTTTGACATTCTGTATGTGTGCTGTATGTTGCAGGCTTTGCAAGCACCCGCTTGTCACGAAAATATGGTTAAAGTCGGTGGTTATATACTTGGAGAATTTGGTAATCTCATAGCTGGCGACCAACGGTCTTCACCAGCTGTCCAGTTTCAACTACTACATTCCAAAGTAAGTACATATATTTTTATTTTCGAAAATTGTCTATATATATGGACAACACACACACACACACACACACACACACATCTATACACATATATACATATGTATATCTCTTGCAGTATCATTTATGCTCTCCTATGACTCGAGCATTGTTGCTTTCGACGTACATAAAGTTTGTCAATTTGTTCCCCGAAATACGAAGCCAGATCCAAGATGTCTTCAGACAGCATAGTAATTTACGTAGCGCAGACGCTGAGTTACAACAAAGAGCCTCAGAATACCTGCAATTGAGTATTATTGCTTCAACTGATGTCTTGGTATGTAACATGTAACAATTAAAAATATGAATGTTCGTCACTGATATATCTGTTTCTGTAGGCCACCGTATTGGAAGAAATGCCAGCATTCCCCGAAAGGGAATCCTCCATTCTTGCAGTTTTAAAGAAGAAGAAGCCGGGCCGAGTACCAGAGAACGAAATTAGAGAAAGCAAGAGTCCAGCGCCAAACACTAATCATCACACTGAACCTCCTCCTACTGCTGCTACAACCGTGACAGTTAACAATTCTTCTGCTGATTTGCTAGGACTGTCAACTCCACCTTCCTCACAACCATCTAGTAATACAGGCGTATTGCTTGATGTTTTGGGAGATATTTATAATATGCCAAATAAACTTGGTACTACCAACGGCACCCAAAATACATACAATCCTAAAAAGTAAAAAAATATATTATGCGAGAGATTTTTATATAATTATAATATTGATATTTGTAATTATTATTTTGATTATATTTTTCAGGTTTGTTTGTAAGAATAATGGTGTTTTGTTCGAAAATGACTTGATACAAATCGGTGTAAAATCGGAGTTTAGACAAAATCTTGGACGTGTGGGTCTTTTTTATGGAAACAAGACGCAATATGCCTTGCACAGTTTTCAACCGCAATTATCTTGGACAGACGAGAATCAAGCAAAGTTAGCTGTACAAGTAAAACCTGTTGATCCTATATTGGAAGCTGGCGCTCAGATCCAGCAAATGATCAATGCAGAATGTATTGACGACTATAATGGTACGTTATTATTACGATATTTTTACAAATTTTTATTAATTAATATCGGAACTTGTTCCATTACACGTAGTATTTCCTATTTATAGATTCGCCGAGCATGATTATCTCCTTCATTTACAATAATGTGCCACAGAAGATCACAATGAAGTTACCATTAACAATTAATAAGTTCTTCGAACCAACAGAAATGAATGGGGAATCATTCTTTGCAAGATGGAAAAATCTTGGCGGGTATGATTGCAATATAATTAAGGAAAAGAGAGACATGAGGTTTTTTTTTTAAATAGTTCCATAGATTGATTTCCACATTAAATTTATTTTCAGAGCGAATCAACAACGATCACAAAAGATTTTCAAAGCGCAACAACCTATGGATCTAACACAAGTACGCACGAAACTACAAGGATTTGGAATGCAACTGCTTGATGGCATTGATCCGAATCCCGATAACTTTGTCTGTGCTGGTATCGTTCATATGAGGGCGCAGCAAGTGGGTTGCCTGTTACGTCTTGAACCTAATAAACAAGCCCAGGTAATGTTCAACTCTTGAAAGATTCAATACCGTAATAAACATGATAATTTTTATTTAATTGCTTATTTCTATTTGCAGATGTTCCGTTTAACAGTACGTTCGAGTAAAGAATCGATGTCGGTAGAGATCTGTGACCTGCTGGTGGACCAATTTTAAACGGCCTAGCAGGCGTAAATATTATCGAAAAATTAGTACTACGTCGTGAGAAGACATATCATTATCGAACGATGATGTCATCTCGCGTCGTTCAAAAAGATATTGATGGTTATTTGTTAAGAAATATTTGCGTTGTACCCAAGCTTACACTCAATAACGCTCTTATCTAAGATCTATATCTTCGTGTAGGTAGTTTCGTGTCACTATATATCATTTTATTGAAGAGGCATAAGTTTGAATCAGGACTATCGAAATTAAGTACTGAAAAAAACGAGGGATATATATATATGAACTGGCTATGACAGACAGTATTATCTCATAATCGAGGATACTAAGGTGTGGATCTGTTTTGAATGTCTACATCTTATATTACAATCTACAATTTAAGCGGATGAAGCGAGAATGAAGAAGCTAGATTAGTTATGGATATGTACGTATTGTAGAAACACTCGAGCCACATTATAGAAACAAAGCATACAAGATTTTTTTACTGAGTTTTATAATACAAGTTTCTCTTCGTATCGTTGCAATTTATATAGTTTTAAAACATCGATTAATCACTTCGATTGTTCAGAGTAGAATATCTCTCTTGGCACATCATTTTCTTTTATATCGTTTTATACCTACGCGTCATTATTATTCATATTCATGAATTGCTTGCATTGGTATTTTGCCATGAGATTTTGCCGCGTGAGCGAGAGTAGATTTGGGCACAATGACAGTAGTTGTATAATATGAGCTGTTTATCTAGATACCCTTATATTTAACGGAACTGCGATTTAATTATTGTGTACAATTAATAGTTTATATTTAATTGTCTTTGTCCTGATCTTGAGTTTGAACAATGTCTTAGATTGACCTAGATTTTCTGTATCATTGATTAGAGTATAAATCCATGGCTGGTCATTTCTGTGTTTGCAAAAAAGATGAGAGGTATATCGTATTATAGTATATTATTAAAAATTGAATGTCTACAGATTAATTATTTGTAATTATAGAAGTACATTTTCAGAGTCTTTGCGTAAGATGTATATGTTTAGTAGAGTGTACAACTCTGTACAGATAATATTTGAAGTTAATAATATGTTGATTATGATAATAACAGCGGGAAGAGAGCAGCTCTAATTATGATTTAAATATCGCTTTATAACGATCGGTGACGTGTTACCGACTTTGTAAAGCCTTACACAATTGTACATATAAAATTGATCACAAATGGCTATAAATATTTTCAGGATAGATTGCGCTATTCATAGCCACAAGCTCAAATTTGTTTCTTATTCTTCAATTATGTTTTATTCTTCAGGGAAGTAAGATGTATATTTTTCATATTCATATAGTGTAAATTCATGTGTCTAATGTTCCCATTATATTTCTTTTCTTTTATATTGTATTGTGTATTAGCTGTATTTTAATTATAGTATATACAGGTCGAGAGAACATGGCGCTATCAGTTTTTACGACTTGATTTAATGAGATTTTATTATCATCATTATTTCCTTCTCTCCCTTTTTTAAATATTATTTGTCATGATAGAATATTTTACTATTAGATATAATTGTACGATTATAATTGTCGTTAAATCATAAGCAATATGAAACGAAATATGGGTGTTTTATATTTTCACTTCTCTCGTTCTTATAGAACAGTTAATATTTCAGAGACTATTAACAGTATAATTTTTTTTATCTAAACTAGGTACAAATTGCTATAAAATTATTTATCATTTTTTTATTGCGGTACTGACATATAATCCAAGCTAAAATTATAATCTATAAATTATTATTATTAGAAAGAGAGAAGAGGATAACAATTTGCTGTGTTATACCATTATAGATCTTTTTACGTATAAATGTGTAATATATATGTAAAATTGGTATAATTTGTGTTTTATATATTAATGACATTTTAAATTGCAATATTTTTTTAATTGTTGGATAATTAAGATACAAATTAAAATTAAATAAAAATTATTTTAAAAATCAAGAAAAAAATGATAATAAAAGGAAATAAATACATTTTTCCTTTGTAAACATCGAGACACAACCCAACGTTTTACATGTTTAAACATTCCTTTGTAATAGTTTTCTTGTCCAAGATTTGTGAAATACTGATCTTTGATATCTTTATCCTTAAATCTTTTTTCTCTAATGAAAAATGCTGATCAAAGAGATGGAAATTTAATGGAACTAGATCGAAATTATGTGGTAGTACAGAATTTTCCATTTTCATTTTCACTTATATTTTGAAGTGTAATTTGAAATGAAAAAATATCATGTAAAAATTTTTTTATTTCCAATTATAATGTGTGTGTACACACACACACACACACACACATATATATATATAATATATATATA